CAGCAAGTTTCCCTGGCCTTTCTGTGTGGCCCGGCAATGGACTGGTGACCTGTCCATGGTGTACCCTGCCTTTTGCCTGATTGTCAGCTGGGATTGGCTCCTGCCCCCTATGACCCTGTACGCAGGATAAGCGGTTGACGATGGATGGAAAACAAATGGAGAATAAAAGAAAAAGACAGAATGACAAGTTTAAATTAAGGAAGGAAATGTAATGCTGTACCTTCTGTTTTATTCAGAGAAATATTCCCTGGTACAATGACTCCTGCTGTGCTCATATGAAACCTTAGTGCTTTATTACATAAGGTCTGGCAGACCTGGGAAGGAGATCAGCAGCATACTAAACGTTCACTGATGGTGGAGAGGATGCCTATACAGCTCTTAGGATTCACATCTCATGCACAACAAACCAGACTACTAATTTTCAGGATACTTCAGTTCATTTTGTTTTTTCAGTGTCAGACATATTTCATTTACTATGAAATAACATCTATTACAGAGTAGAATGCCCATTCTATAGCTGCTCTTGCAATTTAAACATCTGCACCAGACCTCTGCAAGAATTTGGTAAAATAATATTAAAATATACAATAAATTGTAATATTTAATGTTAACATCTTAATCAATAGTAGCTGCATTTAAGAGTAGGCTAAATTAAACCATATCAACTATGATGTTACTGATTTACCATCCAAATTGTCATCTTGCCAGCAAGTTGGAGAGCTAATAGTAACAGAACAATGTAAACAGCCTGAACTCTTTTTGACAATGTTTTTACAATGCTCCATAACAACATACAACAACAACACATTGTGTTCTGTCATCTGGCATCAACAGTGTTTCAGCCATGGTCCCGCCAATAAGATAAAATAAAACTATGCTAAACCCAAAGATGAAAAAGCAGTCTGTCAACTAGCAGGGTAAATCATTAGCATGTATAAAACACACTCCTCACTTCTGAATTCAGTTCTATTTAATTCAATTTTATTTAGAATGTGGCAATTCATAACAGATTTGTGTTCTCATTGCACTTTTCATATAGAGCAGACCGTGCTCTTTGTAATAATATTTACAGAGACCCAACCATTCCCATCATGAGCGAGCACTTTCAGTGCAAGGAAAAACTGCCCTTTAACAGGTAGAAACCTCAAGCAGAAACTAGACTCACGGTGGGCGGCCATCTGCCTCAACCAGCTGGAGGAAGAGGGAGAAATAGAGAGAGGGAGAGGGAGAACTGGATCTCTTGGAAGGAGAGGTGGGTAAACATTTTTTGAGATCTCAGGGGAGTGTGGTTGCCCGATCCCGCGCTTGCGCATGAAATAGTCCACACTGGGTTAGGGCCAGGCAGTTAAAATCTGCGCATGCGCTGATTTTTGCGCATGGGTAGAACGGATTAAGATCATCTCCTAATTTACTTAATCTGGCCATACTGTGTAGCCTACAGGAAAATTGGATTTTTCATATTCCTAAGAAGAATTTTAGAAAGTTAAGGGTTTATTGACTTACACCAGCAATAAATGATTTCTTTGGCCACCTTGGGACAATGCCATTTGATTTGTTTTCTGTGGATTTTTAGAGCTTTTTCACTGAAAAAAACTTCTTGATTTGGCCAAAAACTATGCTGTGAGAGTGAACCAAAACAGTGATGTTTCAGCCTGAAAGCTAAACAGTGAGCTGAAGCTTGCTATAAAACTCTGTAAAGCCCAGGGGGGGCTGTAGATTCGGGTGATAATTCACTGTAGGTTCATTACAACGAATGGCCCCTTTAGCATTGTCACATTGTTTTCACATTGTCATTTGCTCCTGTTATTATAATATAAAAGTGGAAGTAGTATTGCAATATTCTGTGCAGTTTACAAGCATAACTGGGTCAGTTATTTGTTCCTCTGTAGGCCTTTTTTTTGTAAATTACAAATAAGCTTATCTGTGTTTATGGCACATGGCCAATGTTTTGTGGGAAAAGTATTTCCAATGAAGACTCTCTAATCTATTTCCTTTACCATGTCTAAATATGGTGTGTTGGGAAGCAAGTGCTCTTTCAGTCTCGTAAACAAGATTGTGGAAACTTCCACTGAGAGCTTCCCACAGATACAGATGAACCCGCTATAGTACAGTTTTTCTGGGCTCTTTGTGTGCGTGTGTTTGTGAGTGTGTGCATGTGTTAGTTTGTTTGTCTACCTTTACATAACAGAGTGATGTAGTGGAGTGATCTGTTTAGACAAGTATGGTTGACTTTTTAATAGGGTTTGACATGAATGGGATAAAAGCTAAATCTGCAACTTCTTCGGTCTGCTGCACTTCCTGCTGCATCTTGGGCTGCCACCTCCATCAATATTTCATGATGATTATGTCTTTGTTATAAAACTATAAAAATTCACATGTGACTTTATCACAACTGTACTTCACATATTTTAAATGTACATACATGTGTAGTTTTTGGACATTTTGTGGGACCAATTCACATGATGTTTACACATGTGGTTTTTTGAAGTGTTTGGCTTCACATGTGCTTTCACAAAAATGTTGTGCCATTCCAACAAAAGACAGGAAAGTTCATTAACATTATGTTGCAGCAACAAAGTGATGTATTAGATTAAAAATATATAATTTAAAACTTTAGTAAGGCAAGACACACTCAGAGGAGAAAATGAATTAAGGAGAAAAGAAGTGTGCAGTGAACAGGGGAAGAGGATGAAAAAGGTAGGCAAGCAGGCTGTTTGACAAAGATTTAGACTGACTGCCACACCTGATTTTTACCTCTTTGTAAGTGAGTGAATGAAAGTGTATGTGTGTAAAATGTGTCTTGAGACATGGGAGGAAGCTCTGTTTTTAGAGTATAATGAGCAAGAATGCAAAGGAAACAGCTGTGGTCAAAGAAAACGGAAGGCATCTTGGTAAGCTGTGTGAGTAAACACTTCCAAGTAGCAGAATGAATTTTCCAAAGTTGTGACAGATCATTTAGCCAATTAATTATTCAGGTCGAGTGCTCAGTGAGACGAGGTTATGGCTGTACCCTGCACTGCAGCCCTGGCTGCTGCCCAGTCAGGATTAATCTCATGGCACAGCATTTCCCTGAATGCCTCCCATGAATGATTTAAACTGGAATCATGAAACCTATTTGTGTGCATCGGCTTGGTCACATTATTAAAGCCGAAGGACACAATTTGGTTGAGGTGGGAGAAGCTACGCAGGTAGGATGAAAATGACTCTTTGGGTCTGTGATGCAGTCTCATAATGCCAGACGCCCAAGGGACAGAACAATCACAACGTCATCATCACATGAACACAGCAGTTATATAAGCAGCTGTTGTTACACAGCATAACAGTGTTTAATGATTACCACCACTTAAAAACTACCTCGTGACAAAAGTCAACTTTGCTGTAAAATGATTGGTTGATACCTATATAACTAATGTATCTCACAAATAGTAAAATATAATCCAGACAAAACAAATGTGTTACGCAGCAGTCAAATCAAACTGTGTGTGTCCGCTTCACAATTTACTGACATTGGATATCTTAATCTCTCCTTATCAGGGGAGGTATGTGATTTTCCACTTCAAGCAAGCTGCTGAGTAGCTCTAATCATAGAATTAAATTGGATCTCACAGCAGGTTTTTATTGACTGGCCATGTGGATTCATACTGTCTGGTTGCTGGAAGCAGAGCACTGGCATATAAAGCAGCTACAAGCTGTCAGGATGCCTTCAACACCACTATAAGCAAAGTTGCTTGTGGGCCAACAACACTCATTCATCACTGCCTTAGGTTTACATGAAGATTAAGCAGGATCATGTTCCTAATCTGACACATAAGACGCCCCATGCATTACCCATTCAACATACACAACATGTACAACATATACCTGCTACACGTGCAGAAAAAGCTTTAAATGTGGCACACTTAGATCACTGTGTTAGATTTCCAAATAAAAAAACCCTCCAGTATCAGACTTTACTTTCAATCTTAAGAGTGTATTATATTATATTGCTATTATCAGCCATTTAATTCCTTTAATGAGAGAGTTGGATGCTTTGTTGATGGATGATCTAGAGAGTGTGGCTTTATTAAATTGCTTGTCAGTTGGCTTATAAATTCTCATAAAGGAATTAGAGAGAAAGCTGGTGTGATTGTTAGAAGTAAAGGGATTGTAGATAGTGTAAATACTTGACAACATAAACAGCACAGAGAGTGTCTAGTTGAAATAGAACTGTACCACTAATAACCTGTGCATCTTATGTATGGGGATATACTGTATGCAAGAGTATGCATGACCATATGTGATGATGAGGTGTGGGGATGTTTTATAATTAGATCTAATATATGGTAAAAAAATAAAAATAAAAAAAAATAACAAAACAAGGAGCTATAAAACAGCATATTAGAGGAATGTTAAACAAGTAGCTGCAGTAACTCCGTCTACAGTTGGAAAGCTGGAGGAAATACTTCCAAGGGGTTGTAATCAAAAGTGAAAAAAGTCAAACGCACTACCTTATCATTTGCTTTTTATATGCCCTTTTATCTGCTTATTGTGCCTTTGCTCAGCTCTCTTCGCACTGCTTCCTGCTTCAAGCTCCAACCCCTCCCTTTCATAAACAGAGGGGGGCGTGGTGTAACACTGCAATCAATTCGAGGACATGTCTGCAGTCATGTGTACAATGGCGAGGCCTACAGCCCAATGCAGTGTGCTGGGGACTTGCTGCAGCACCCAACCCCATACAACCCGCACTGAGACGCTCAGCTGACATATTAGTCAAGACACCTTGGGAACACACGGGAACAGCTCTGCAGCAACATGCTGCACATATATCAGAGTAAAACCTTATTTTAATAACAGAAACTGAGGAGTTTTGCTGGAGTCTATGGGATGTGATTTTGGAATGATAGGTCAGGTTATACTATTATGCTGCAGATCGTGTTCAGTGTTCAGATGATATACAGGGAGAAATTAGGCTACGGTATAGAGATTATACTGGGTTACTGTAATTAAGTACTGGCAGAGTATTATCTTTACATCACAAATGCCTTTATTAACCATTGTTTTAATAAAATATGGGTAACACTAAAACCTACACATAAAAATAAAGGTATGTTACAGCTGTACACGCAAACATGATTAACACTGACTGCAAAAAGAGAAAAACAATAGACAACACACAGTACACATTAACATAGTCAGATGACTGCAGATGTTACAACACAAAAGAGGTTACACACCAAACCAAACCAAAATCAATAAATTCAGTGCCATACAATGGTTATAAATAAGACAGAAGTGATTTAGACTTTCCACTGTGAGAGAAAAGAGCAGTAAAATAAGACAAAGAATGGAAAACATGTTGATTAGTAGCTGTTCACAGGAGAAGCTTTCATATATAGTATATAGTAACTTGCCACCTTACCCCTTTCCTTGCTCTAACTCAAAGTGCATTAGACTTGCTTTGACTGAGTCTGCTACAATCATAAGTCGCTCATCATAAAAGTTATCAAGCACCAAAGTGCATCTCATGTTACCTATCATGCCAAGTAAGGTCCCTTTGTCATTGTCTAGAGTCCACATGTTTTCATCCATCTGTAATTACATTATTTCATAACAAACAAGCACTTGCATTCTTCCAGCTTTGCTTCATATCTCTAAGCAAACTCATACTTCAGACCTATAGTTGTGCACATGGGATATTCAATATATTACTTTTATTGCGATACACAGCTCACATTTACTTATTTCAGGAGGAATTCAGCAATATCTTACTGATATATAAAACTTTAAATTTTGAGATAAATTATTACAGTTAGTGGTATTACCAATTTAATAAGCAGCCTTATTTTAAATAGTCTTCTAGAAAGATTTGATTATTAAATTTAATAGTACGTGTACTTTATTATACCTTTAGTAATTCTTTTTTTCTTCAAACTTCACAGGACAATCAGATAACAAACCTTCACATTGCTAAATTCTGCTTTTAAAATGCTTTAAAATACACACAACATAGAACAGTAATAGGAAGACATTCAATATGAAACATTACACATCTATATATCAGTGAGTTCTGATGCAAAATATTATGTACTGAGGTGAAAATCTAATCAGACCAGAAGCCCTTCATTTTCTTCACCAATAAAAACAGCAGTGTGGGAGACACCAGGTTAAAACTGAGAACTGGTATCTCACAGGTCGCACAGTTTTTTTGTAAACTTAAACCAAAGAGTCACATGTAGTGGAACATGGTGAAAGCATCATATTCAGACGGTCATTTGTGTCGTGCAATCCCAAACCCACAAAAAGAGCAAATCTTGTCAGGACTTGGTCTCAGCCAAATGGTAAAATCTATAAAATGCAATCTGTGTTGGCAGTGACTGATTGGTATTGATGCATCTCTCTGTACACACATCAGTGATATTAGCCTGGATAATTAATTCTTTCTGGTAATGCACAGCGTGGACAACGTTTATACAGACCAAAGCAAACAAAATGCCCCTGATTTAATAACATGAGACAGTGACACAGTAAGCTCCATGGCCAGACCTTATTTATCCACAGTGCATTTAAATAAACAGGTGCAAGAAATGCAGCTCTGTACATGATAAAGCTAAATGTAGTTAAAACAACAACTCAGTGCTGGCCAGCTCTCACTTCATCAAAGTTATTCTAACAGCAGCAGGTATAGCTTTTAAATTCCAACATAAACCATGTCAGATCTAGAGACAAACATCACTGATGGATTCACAGTGGAACTGCTCCAAAACCTAAATGGTTGCAGGAATAGTCTTTATCCACATCCCAACCCGATGGCCTCATTAAATGGAGAGCTTCCCTCTGAGGCCACGATGATGTAAACAAAGGACAAAGTGATGTTCAGATTACAGTTAAAGCTCTGGAATTAAAAGCACCCTGTCTGTTGTTTCTCTACTGTACTGGAGTCTCAATTTCATACTTGCCCACAAACACTAAAAATATTGTACAACTAAAAAAAGCATGATGAATACTTGTGTCCAAGTAAGCTCATTTGCCTACGACATGCAAGCCTGTTTGACATAAAGACAGAGTACATGATCACATATGATCAGGAGCACTACTCGCCAGTGAATTCATAAGAAACGTATGGATGTGACATTAGCTGTTATCTGGAGAGGGCAGACTGGCCGCATAACATCAATTGAGGCTTATGGTATGGAAATGAAGTAATCAGAGAACAGTTTGCCACAAGGATGGAAGTGTCAGCCAGTGAGGTGAAGCCATAGGGTGAAGCCTGAGGTTCATGTGGGGTGTAAGGAGCAACACTATTAGTGCATAGTGGTGACTGAGGATAGAAGCTGGTTAAACACAGTCGTCCGTGTAATAGCTACTTTGTTTATAGACAACACTGCTCTGTGAAAAACAGAGTTACACAGTGCAATCAAGAACATTACAAATGAATAAGCACTATAAGCACTAAAAGCGTTTTAAATCTGCAAATGTACAATAATACTTTTCTGTTTGAATGTATCTGTTAGAAAACAATTACTGTGAAAATAACATCTGTTTTACAACAATCAACCTGAAGAAGAGGAGAAAAGGTACACAAGTAATCTGAGGTAAATTTGCACAGCTACTATTTAACTACTATTTATTTTTCTAAGGGGGACAACAATCACGTTCAAGGGGTTCATTCAGAAAAAAACCTTCCTATCACAGCACAGTATGAGGGTGCTGAAGGCCATTGTTTATAAACACATCCTTGATTTGAACATGCATGATGCAGTTATAATTCGGGGATGTTTTTTTCTAACGTTTCTGAGTTCATCATCTTTGGACTTTGCTCAGGCCTCCTTGATTACTGAATTTGACAAAATACGTAATCATTTTAAATTAATACTGCAGAAAATATACAACAGGGGTTGTATAGGTGCAAATATGTGGCTAAAAGACAGATTTTGACTAAGTATGTCCCTGGATTGGAAGCCTACAGCTATATGGACACTAACTTAAAGATGTAAACCATCTAATGCATCTAGTCTATTCAACCCTAATGAGGAAACTACACATTCAACATTCAATGCACAACTTCCCACATCATGGCGTAAAATAAGGCATTTTTCAATGGCATGCCTGTGGGCAATTATATATTGAATTTTCTGAATGAAATATAACCTGTCGCATGTTTATGTCTGACAATTTAAGGCCTGTGTTTCCCTCAGCCTGCAGGAGGAGTGGAGTACGCAACTAGGTTCGCTTGGCATCCATATCAGCCGCGGTGCTTTCTTCTTCCCATTAAGCCAATACATTTGCACACATGCAAAACAAACTGATAATTCAAACATCTCCTTGCCACCATATAAATGTACAGTATCTCCTGAAAGGAACAGTGATGCCTGAAGTTGGCATTGCCCGGCACGTTTTCGGCGGCACGTGTTCCTGCGTTACGTATCTTGAACATGCCCTCCCAAAGGGCACCAAGCTGCACAGAGCCCTGACATCAAGGCAAATTATTTAACTGCATCTCACACTGGAAACCTACCAAAGGCGTATTCAGTATAGACGTCAAAACTAAATATGTTACCACAGTCGGGCAAATATTTGAATTATTGTGGGAAATTGTATTCGGTGTCACAGCATGTGTGTAGCTGACAATGGCAGAAAAAAGCATCTTTAACAGGCTACAGTCATAATTAAGGTACCAGGGGATCAGTTACGCGCAAATGACGCCAACGCTCAGATAAAGTGAATCCATCCATTCTCCCATTCCCGCGGTGGGGACATCTTCAACCGGTGACGTCGCACTTTGTAGTTATTCCCATTATTATTGTCCCAGTACTCTTGCCCGCCGACACAGTATTTAATAGCAAACTGCAATGTGCCTCCGTTGTCGAGGTAAGTGGGCATGACGATCTTGAAACGGAACTTATCAGTGACACCGTCGCTTGAGCTGGGAACATAGTACGCCAAACTGTCCATGAATGTTATCCAGTTATTTAGAGAGTACCGCAAAGAGACGCTCTTTTCGAAAGCCAGATTCAACACGCGCACAAACCCGGAGAGGCTGAATTCGTCTGCTTCAACGCTGTCCAACATGACTTTCACCTCCCTCACTCTCTGCTCGAAGCCGGGGAGTGTGCCTGGGTTGGTGAACTGCAACTCCATGAACACAGACTGCGAAGGGCCCCGGGGGAATTTGGTTTCCAAATGATTAAGGTGGAGGGGTCCTTTGGGTAGTTTTGCCAATATGCGCTCTGGCACCTCTGGCACATCTGTATCATCGAAGTGCTTCACTGAAGTGAGCTCCAGACCCAGGGAGTCTGCGAACCGGACCTTTTTCTGACTGGATGGACTCCTGCTGCGGGAGATCTCTAACTTTGCTCTCTCTGTGGGTGTGGGCAGCGACTTGCACCTCCGGCGCAGATTTGGACTCTGTGGAGGCTTCAGGGAGATCTCTCTGCCCCGCGGTCTCTCGTCCACCACGGGGCTCTCGATGGGCTCACACGTACCGTTCATCTTGTCAAAATCTTCCCCATCTTCCAGCCGCGGGTTTGCCTCTGCCAGGCTTCCGAACAGTCCGGCTATGCAGCTGTAGTTCCTTGGCAGGCAGTTCTTCGGGGGCAGCATGACCACGACAGGTTGCACAGACTCTGCTTCCATAAAACGCAGCAGATCCTGCACTGCGGAGCTGAAGTGGTCGTGTTGAGATAGATAGAGCCGTCAGGCGTCAGTGCACCCCTAGCGGAGGTGCTCCGGCTGCGTCAGAAGCTGACACTCTGCAGCTCTGGACCAATAAACCAAGCTGTGGATGTGAGCCAGCAAAGATTACGGTTACTTTAAATGTCGGTGTGTGGAGAATAGGCTACATCCCGCTGTCTGCTCATTGTGAAAATAATAAAAAGACATCACTTTCCTCTCCGCTGCGCAGCGACCGTAGCTCGTTTCTATTTTCATGTGGTGAACATGCAGCGTCCTCACAGCTGACATGAAATATTTGATGTTCAGCAGCTCTAGCCTACGTGTAGAACTGAACGTTGCAACTAACCAAAATGGTTTCCTCTTCCTAAAGGGGTAACTTCCCCCTTATCACATTGTGACATTATAATGACCTCTATAGCTCACAGACAAGGAATAAACACAGGCTATTGGAAACACATATTGTATTGTATTATATTCCTATCCCAGGATTGCCGGGAGTAGCCAAGGTACAGTGTAAAATAAGATTTAGGCCTATTGCATAACAAATATGTAATAGCCTAATTAATCTGGAGCAGACTAGGCTGTGGCAGTCAGCCCTCCTCTTTTCTCTACGTCACACCTTCCCGGTGCAGCCTCTTCGGGTTGCTAAGACGACGGTTGAGCGCTCCTGCGCCTCTGTTTGGGAAAACTCTGCAGACCAGAAAGAAAACTAACCACAATAGGTAGTAGCAGTTCTTTATGAATGGTGCTTTCAGACATGGGAATAGTGACACCAACCCATTCAAAATGCTACAGTGATTCAGATGTCTTCCTTTTGGTGAGTAGCGTTTGACTAACCTTTCTAGGTTTCTAACGTTTAAAATAAAAAAATGTTTGTGTAACTCCAACTCTTACAGGTTAGAGGTTTGATATGCTACAAGGCCTATTCTATTTTTTTCTAGATATCACCATGAAGTAGGCCTACATCAGATAACTAGCCTACTTAATGGCGACCTTAAAAGAAGTTGATCACGCAGCTGTGAATGGATCAGCCACGGAGCCTCCAACGCAGGAGGACGCAGTTGGTGCGCAGCTTTACAAGACGCCAGAAAGGAGACATGTCGATACCCTTCTAGATATTAGTGAGCAGGATTTCTTGACAGAACTGGAGCCATATGAGTATCACTGTTACTCAGGTTGGGAGGAAGCTGTAAGTGAATTCACTATTTCCTTACTGCAAACCGTTTTACTACCTGATTTATGTAGGCTATGTTACCTTTATGTAGGTTGTAGGCCTACCAATTGTACATGTTGTGTGTGCCAAAATGATTTAATCTACATTTTTAAATGAAATACAGGTATATGAGATATGAGATATAACACTTATCTATATAATAATTCTTCTGATAGATAATCTTACTCACACATTAGGCTACATAGGCCTGCCAATATTAGCGCAGTTTCCAGTAGCCACCTTACTTTTGTAATTAATTATTTCAATGCATGTTTAGTTTAAACATATCAAAACTGTTATACATATTTAACATACTTCGTATTTTAAAACAGGTTCAGGGTTGGGCCAGAGTTGCTCCACTGAGCTGCATACTTTTGACTGAGAGGAAATACAGGAAACCAAAGCATAAAGAGGCTGATAACCCGACCCCCGTGTCTATTGACCCAACAATCCCCATTACAGACAGCCCGGTCAGCATTGCGGAGAACCGCTGTGAGCCTCATGTGGGCCCACATAACAGCTCTAAGAAAATCATGCCATTAAACCAGCATCCTGGATCCTGGAGTAACACTGCTGAGGCAGCTCTGCAGACAGATGCCTTGGAATGGCTTGTCGATGGAAAGAGAGAGGAGGAAGGGACACTCAGAGATACTTCTTTGCAGCCTCACAATCTCTCCTCCAAATACTCTTTTGTGTCAGATAGCAGGCCCACTAAGCCTCAGAAATACAGCCACAGGCCCAGTAGTACAGTGGTTCCCATTAAAAACTTCACATTTTTACCACCAATTATATCACCACACCTGAATCCTCAGAAAGTCAGTGGCACAAAGGTTCCAGATGGAGAAACCATAGAGGAAAACTGTTTCATATGTGATAAGAAGGGCAGAATGAGACAAACAAGAGTGGACCCTGTTTCTAATGCAGAGCTTCGCACTTACTCTGCAGCCCTGACCTCCAAGTACCGGACATGTCTGCATAATCCCCACTTGTTCTCTGCTGTAAGTGTTTCTATCCCCAAGGGGTATCAAGTACCTGTGTCTTCCAAAGCTGACACAGTGCATCGCACTAACTACTCAATGGGCAAGAGCCTCACACAGGCTCTCCACTCCAGCTCTGCAGCAGGTGCGCAGGCACATATGCACCCCAGCAAGGCTGTCTATGCTGTCAAGCTGTACGAGGGCTGCGAAATAAACGTTTAACATGACCGATAACGACATTTATGTATGCAATCATTTTAAACTCCCAAAGTAAAAACAACCTGTTTTAACATATTGTGTAGCACTGCATCATATGTTTCCATCAAAACAGATAGTTGGAAGAATGATTTTAATGGATGAGACATGTTCAGAAAAGTAACTCATTGGAGAGGTAATTCATTTAGCTTAGTGTTCCATCAGTTCAGTTTGGCATAACATTTCAGACCATACAAACCATAACAGTAAGAGTGTGAACAGAACATTGCAATGTTAAGCTCTATCTATCATTCGGGCCTTGACCAGTTCCCACAAGTGCTTTTTCAGCTGTTCTAGTTACCTAGCAACGGTGCAACTATCTCATAGGAAGCATGGCAGTGTGCCTGCTCACACTTTCTATTATTTAACTTTCAACCACAAGCTACAGCTCTGTCAGATCTTCAGTGTTGCACTGTAGCCTGCAACTATATATGATGACGTTGCCAAACTAGTGCATCTGCTCTGTCAAGTAAAATTAGATCCAACTTTAGCTTTATATCAGTCAGGAGGTAATTCTGGCTGATCGCAGATTGGTTGTACAGTGTAAAAGGGCTTGTCAGTGCAGAATAGATCCCTAAACATACTGGGATGATGTTACTTTGTTTTATCATACTACCTCTTTGTTCATTAGCTGCCCTGTAAAATAAAAAAATTATTTGCTTAGTAGGAGTGTTCTTTAGTCAAACATTTTGTCTTCCCCATATGTGCATGTGAAATAAAATGTTTACTTCCAACTGATTTCTAGAGTTGCTATATCCAGCACAAACCATACAAAAATGGTCACATTTGGGTGCGTGTCCTTCCAACTCTTTTTGTATTGGTTGATTGCCATGCCCCCCCCCCGCCCTTTGTACTATAATAAGTGACAAGAAACACAAAATATACTTTCCAGCAGTTTATTAAGAACATATGTAGTGTAGCTTTAACAATTTAGCAAGGCAACCATTAACTCTACACATATAGGCAACAGAAACAGAAATTCTGCTAAACCAAATATTTAGTGCCGGGAAAATATCTGCATGCATTCCCAGCAGAGAAAAAACAAAGTACTGTAACTGACACTGACGAGGCTTGTACAGGTAGTTCTATTTAAAGCAAGGCATTTCCCAGTGCTGTTTTTGCTGTTTTTGAATTCAAGAACCACAAAGTACTAAAAGAAGTACTAATCTCAATATAAGAAATGTTGAAACTGAATTAGTCTAAATCCTTTTTAACATCCAGGAAATTATCCTTTTACTTTTTGGATATGGTGCAAACAATAGAGCATGTTATACTTGGGCACAGGGTCATGTTCTGTATATTATTCAGGTCATGTAAATAGGGAGATGGTGTCCAAAAGTTTCTCTTCAATAAAATGCTGCATAGCATTACTTTTTCATGTGACAGAACATAAACCTTTCCATAGAAACTATGGAGAACGCTTAGGGACATTCCAATATTTCATGCAACCATGATGAAAATACAAATACAGAATGGATTAAACATGCAAAGACCAAAAGGATTGACACATTTTCAGTGTTTGTTCATTTTCCAAAACATATTCTTGTTTATTTTATATTTGTTATTTTAAAGCAGCAATTTGTTTGTAACAGAACTACAGCGAATACTTGGGTTAAGGCACAAACGTAACAAAATTAATAAATAATCAAGGCCTACAGCTCTAGGTTCCTTAGTAGAACAAAGCCTGCATGTGGTGCCTGTGCTTAATGAGGTAACTGAGTGCAACAGTTTAATGAGAAACGTAATCAAACATTAAGTTTAGTTGTCTGGAGAAGACAAAAAAATTAAATATGGTCTCTGATTGAAATCTGATGATTTTAACGGGAAGAACAGGACTCCTTTCTGTTAAAATCCTGTGGCGAATAAATACAAGTCTGTGCTCTGTACAGTAACATTACTGCATCACCTCAGCACTGAGTACTGCTACTGTATACACTTACACCCAGCTAATGAATAAGTCAAAGACAATGACAGCCAAGCCTGCTTACGGACTTGAACTGTTTTGATATAGAGGCCCAGACACAAAAAGTGTTTACACAACATCATACTTCACAATCACACTTCAGTGACAGGTGCGCAACATCTGACAAGACATAAACATTATATTTTTATGTGTGCCACATCTGTATGAGTAACGGTAATGCTTGAGAGATACATCTTAACAGAGTTAAGCAATGCCTTTTTCATTGCTGAAGCCTTTATGGGGCTTTATTTTGAAAAACAAAGCTGATTCTCACTGGTCAGGTTTTCCACTGGCTGCAGCATGTAATTCAGAGTTTATAGTCTTGCTGCCGCTGACAATACAACATCAATGAGGCAGCTGTCAGATGCACAAGCTGACAATAGATATTTTTATGTTTCTGTGCTGCTGACCACATGAAGGCTTCATGCACATTTCCAAACATACGTAAGCTACAAGCATAATGTTGTTTTCATGCAGTATATGCATATCTGAAAGCTGCCATACACAGCCACACACAGCTAAAAGATGTCATCCCTTTACAGTGCAGATCTATTATTGATACGTTTTTTAAAAACTGCTAGTAAGACTAAACAGTGAAAACCAGTCACAGTGGTTATACACAAAAAATATAGAAGTAAACTGGCATTTAAGACAAGACACATACAATATGTTACTTTATGTGCAAATAAATATGTAAACTGTCACAGGAGCTGATAAATCATACCTGTTTAGCTAATAAAGTGCAGTGGAGATGTCAGGACATATACCTGGAAAGACTCTGGACATGTCTCCAGTGGAATGTTCAAAGAACATTCGCAGACTTCTTACTGCTAAGACTGTGGTCCGCTGGAGGACAGCGTAGACTGATTCCTCTTATGGAGGCAGACATGCGAAACCTATACCGCAAAAGCTTAGGCAGCTTCACTAAGAGGGGCTTCAGCTGTTGGGTTTCTCAGGGTGCTGAAAGAGAGCACAAAGCTCCTCACACGTCTGGGTTTCCACAGAGCTGAAATGGGAATCCATATTCCATGCCAGGTCTGCTGACAAGAAGTCATCCATGACAGTTTGTGTTTCATTGCTCGTCAGGAAGAGGTGTCCCAGGCCTTCTGCCTGGCTGGTCACAGTCTGTGTCTCTGTGCTGTTCAGCAGCCTTGCATGCTCACCCTGACACGCAAGGGTCTGAGCGGAAAGGCCTGTGGCAAATGAAGGGAGATCCGTCTGAGTTTCTGTATCGGAGGACTCGGTGCTCATAGAAAAGCTTGAATGTCGCAGGATGCTGCTAAGGGGCATGTGGCTTCCGGCGCTCAGCAGGAAATTGAGGTCAGTCTGAGTTTGAGTGTCAAACAACTCCAGGTCACTGGCTTGGGTCCTATTTGGCCCCTCACTTTGGTCCAGTTCATCCATCAGGAGGAAGTCCGTCTGAGTCTGGATGTCAAGAGACTCCAGCGGCGTGTCACCACCCAGTCCTCCCAGCTCACTCTCCTCTGTCTGTGTCTGGATGTGCACAGCATTGAGAAACTCTTCAAAGTCAAAGTCAATGCCATTGTGTTGCTCCTGAACAGAGCCCAGGCCTGACCCACAGCCTTCAGATGCCTCTGTGAGCACCTGGTGGCCTGACATGCTGTCAGATAGAATATTTTCTAGGTCACTTAACAAGGTCATAGTTTGGGTCTGGTTATCGGCCATGTTGTTTGAGTTGAGCTCATCTGTCTGCACCCCAAAACACATAACACCCGCTGACTTTGAGTCCTCATATATATTGTCATCTATGTCCAGGGCTGTCTGGGTGGAGACACTGAGGGAGTCACTGCCAAATAAGTCAGAGCACATTATAGCCTGGTCCTGAGCCTTCTCCTCTGATTGTGGCATGGCAAAGTGCGTCTGTGTCTGCCTTGTTTTGTATGGGGGCGCAGATGAGGAGGAGCAAGTAATTTGGCCCACGTGCTGGCTGTCTGTCTGAGCTCCAATAGTGGATGTGGCTTTGGCCCAGGAGGAGAACGTCTGAGTTTCAACACTGACTGGCAGGAGGACTTGGGCACTCACGCTGATGTCTGTTTGAGAGCAGGACGATACTGAGGGCTCACCCACAGAGCACAAGCCTATTCCCTCCCCAACCCCCACTCCTGTGGGCATTTTTGACAAGTACGATTTTTCCGTTTGAATGTTGGTGGAGGTGCTTCTTCCCCGTTGGCCTGCCAGGCTGCTGGATGAGTCCTCTATGCCTGCAGGGTCCAGACTGACCTGCACCCCTGTGCTAATAGGCCCCAGGCTAGAGCGGGAAGTAGGCATGCTGTCCTTGAAACCCAAACTCTTAGCATCAAGTTGGGGTACCACAGCTCCCATGGTTTGTGGCAGGAGGTGAAAAGTGCTGACAGAGCCTTGGCTGTCTATTGCCAGCACTACAGATCTCAAAGCCCCGCCCTCTGTAGATGGAAGAAGGACCGGCAGGTGGGCCAGCTGCATCACAGGAACACTGACCAAAGCCATCTTGGGCTTTGGAAGAAGCATCTTCTGGAGGTTCTTACGGGGGTTGGAGTTCTGATTCACTGAGTCTGTAATATTAACAGTTGTATCAGAAGGCAGAGCAGTCTCTGTTAGCTCTTTACTAGCAGACATGATGAGACAGGTTGACTCATTAGGCTTAACCTTTTCAGAACCACTTAACAGTTTCTCCATCTTTCGCTTTTTTACTGGAGGAATTCTGTAAAGAAACAAAACAGATTCAAAAGAATACCAGTCAAAATAAAATTGAGGTCAAACCTAAAGCAACATTTCAATAGAAATCACTCTGGGCTATGCCTGTACATGCCTGTGTTCTATAGGAATCTCGTGACCTGTCCTGTAGATATGTGAGAGTAGTGCAGCCCTACTAGCATAGGGGCAGCCGCATGTACAGTGGTAGGTCTTCCCACAGTCTTCTATGTGCCTCTTTAGGTCATACTCTGTGCTGTAGCCATTGTTGCACTTGAAGCACTTGTGTTTCTTCTCTGCATGCATCTTCATGAAGTGCTACAATAAAACAGGTCAAAGAGCAAAGAATATATTGCACACAACTGCTTTAAACATGTTTTATGTAGTCATTACTAAGGAAAAGAATGAAGAGCTTTTAAATAGCAATTTAATATGAAATAAACTTCACAATACCAAGACCAAAAAGCCAGGTGGCAGGAATCTTTGTTGTCTAGTGATCCAAACTTGAGTACAGTCTACTGTATCTTTTAGACAAAATTGGGAATGAGGGCGGTTTTTCACAGTGTTTTGCAGTCTTTGATGCTATAGGAGTCAAATATTTTTCTTGAACTTAAACAGTTCAAGAAACTGTATACAAATGCACAGTCTATGTTTTAAGCCAATTATTCTGTTTGATTTTCAGATTATAAGTCAAGAAGAGCTCACTAACCTCTTGTGTTATTTGAAGAGGCTGAGGCAGAAAATGTACTATGGATTGTAAAACTTTACGTCACCACACATTTTCAAAATTTTAAGTTTAACATTGCTTTCCATTCAAAATATTCTGAAGTTGGCTTAATTTTTTCCATTTATTGGACTTCAGCTTTGCGGGAGGCAATAATGATCTAAGAGGACTTTATTAAGTACAAGTAATAGGACATGCAAACAGCATTTAAAATTGAACACGTGGCAGTAGAAAGGTGGTATTTGGGTAAGGATGAAGTCAACCAGTCTTATCAATACAGCAAAAGTGATTTTTGAAAAATATTGTTTGGTATTTAGCAATATATTAGGAGCTATTCCACAGAACTGACACCTCCTCATTTTACACCATTGATCACATGGATAGGATTACAGGTCACTGGAGGAAAGGCTTACTTGTTTGACCAGAGAGAACTGGGAGAAGGGTCTGTTAGGCCCCCTGGGACAACCCTCAATGGGACAGCAGTAAAGCTTCTGAGAGCCCTTCATGTCCTTTCTGACCGTGGGATTGACAATACCATCCTGAGGATGACAATACCAGCAAAAGGTAAAGAGAAAGGACAAAGGACAAAGTATAGAGATATTTGCATTTTAGATATTTATATCATACCCTTAGTCAGAATAGCTTACAGTGAGACATAAAGAAAACTGTAAATGTCTATTTCCCCAATCACCACAAATACATGCAACCAGCAGAAAGTCCCGTTTTTCAAGTAATTTAAAGAGATTCTGTAAAGACAGCAGCTTTAACTTGTTACTGACCATCAGTACTTTAGCTGATAAACTAAAATTGTACTCCTGTAAAAGACACTAAATGTCAAATATGCTGTAACCCTAAAAATACAAAATGTTGTCTTTTTTACCAATAGCTAACTCATAGTTCAAAGGGGATTATAGACTCCACATTTCTGTCTACAGAAGGTTGTAGCTTGGAAGCACATGTACAACAGTTTGCTGTACCACAGCTCCTCTTTTAGTCCCAAGGCAGACTTGCTAAAAGAGCTGTCAGCACATCAATAAATAGCATACAAAACAGCAGCTAAGATGTACCCTGCATAGTGAAAACAGACAAAACCATCGCACTCCACAACAGCCATTAATGCTTGTAGCCTTCCACTGGTCAAGGTCACCTCCATCTGCTGTAACAGAGCAGCTAACACTGACAAAACACCCTCTGGTTTATCATAAGGAGTTCGCATAAACAGACATTTTGCAAACAAGGAATGTTCAGACAGCTGGCTTCAGCTACATCATCTGGTCGTAGGCTGAAGCCTGAGTCATGTCAAGACCTTATTTGTTATCAGTCCGCTGTATCCCAGAAGAAGGAGCATGGCCACATTCACTGTCTTTGCTACACCACAATCAGTCCACAGCCTTTTAAGTAGCCATTGTCGATGTTACTTCCTTTTTCTGGGAGACTGTACAATACAGTGATAAGTCAGATTATATATGTTATTATATAATAGCTAATTCTGCTTCTCTGTGGTGCTGAGGCAAGTGATACAGATGGAAAGACAGGCAAGCCAAAACAGTCACATTAAATTTATGAAAGGAGTCTGAATTGGGCTTCAGTTTTCATGACCAGCAAGAAACAGGTAGACTTAGTGATCTACAAATACATTACTGCTGTAATGTTATCTGCAATGATGTAGAGCTACAGTGACATTATATAAACAGATGTGTTCCACATCAAGCCTCATTTTTGCATTCGGACATCATGAATAATGCACAGGAAGCATAGAGTGTGAGCTACTCCAGCACTGGACTTTGGATAACTTTGTTTGCATAGTCAACTAGAATAGCATTACCACCGTTAACAGAAGTTTCACAGTTGCTGCACCTTAAAAAGGAAGCATCTCTGATGCAAGTGTGGCTGAACAATGTAAAAAAAATCAAAATGCATGACTGGAATCTGCATTACTCTCAAAGTGACAAGGATAAACAAGCAGCAACTAAATATTGACTATGAACGTTTTCTATAGCTCTTAAAGGATTGTTTACACCAGAAAGGTTCAGGTACTGGAGTAAAACAGGCCTAAATTTAAATTATAACTGACTACATCAGACACAAACCTTCAGATATACTTGATTATTCCATATGTATATGGTAGAAACACTGGACCACTCTTCTACTTAGGCCACACAGACTACTTCAAAGGGCTAATTAAAATTCTCACAGTCACCCACTTTAAACAAAGAGCTTAACTGTTAGTCTATTGCAGGACAAAAGGCAGCCTTTCCCAGCAAAGAACTTCATTCATGGGGGGAAACAGTGAATTACTGCCTCCCACGAAAAAGTCCGTTTCAGCGAGGACATAAGAACCAGGGTCAAAAGTAGACTTTTTGGTTCAGATGCTCTGACTGCCTCCTCTCTATTGACGGGTTATTATTAGACAGTATAGTAGATTCAGGCAATCAATAGTGGCAGTGTAACGTTAGCCGTGTTTCAGGCAGGCGAAGAGATCCTCACCATAACGTTACAACTATAAACAGAGTTTTCCCCTCACACACTAGCACAGCCATACTGAAATACTGCCCAAATGTCTGCCTTCAACTACAAATCGTCCACTTGATAAAATCTAAGGGTGCAGCTAGACCTGTATCCAAAACTGTAGTAAGCATCAATCAGCACGTGCGATCGCAATCATGAATTGATGACATCCGTAGCTGGTTACAATGTGGCTACTAGCTCGCTAACGGCAAACTTAGCCGTTAGTAGGTAACTGCTGTTCCAGAGCTTCACTCGCCCACAAACTGTTAGCTACGTGAACTTTTACCTAACCTTAACTATAACGTCGTGGTTGCTTAGCACCACTGTTGTGTTAGCTAAAACGAAGTTGTTCTGGATGACTTGCGTTTTCTAGTTACATGAGTTTTTTCATGTATTAGCCAAGTTAGCATCGCAGTTACGTACACCGTGAAGGATACAATACCTTTATTCTGTGGGACTTCACAAGATGCATGTTCAACGCAGGTGTGTTGGGGAGAATCTTGCCACATCCTTCCACGGTGCAGAGGATGTTGGTCCTAACTTCTTTGGTCAGCTCCGTGATAGTAGGTTTTATAATTTCCCCCGATTGCGAGAGAGACTCTTCATGACATTTCGTAGTGTCTGTAGTGGCGTCATCGCTCTCATTCGCCTTGATTGTTGCAGAGGCAGCCATGTTTACGTGTTGACAGACCAGTCTGTGTTTGAGAGAGCCCGAGTAGCGGCATTGAATGACCAGGGCATGGCGTCCCTCAGCTTTGCCTGAAAGGTTGCCTCGCCACCTTCCGCTTCCACCAAGACGACGAAGAGGGTTGAGGCTACGCCACATCCGGTATAATTATACTACTTCCGTTTTGCAGACCATGGTTTACCACCAGACTTCAGCTTTCCAGTGTGGTTGTTTTTCTAATATGTATATGCCTGTGTAGGATGATAGTATTACTGTACCTTATAAACAGTATGTTTTAAGCTGAAAGTGTGCATTTAGAAGCTCAGAATTTCTTCTTACACCAACCTAAAAACAATTTTCTTTAATCTCACACAGAAATACTTTTGAGATGTGTATTGTGCAAACAAATATAAACTATTGTCAAAATAAAGAAATGGTATCCAGATTAGCAGACAGAGGAACCAAAGTGCTCTTAAGAGAGCTCCAACAAAACACAGGCCATACTGATATTAAGTTGCAGTCTGCAGTACTGAAATGCCAGAGGTAATTTAGAAATTGTCACCATTACACAACTCACTACATGTCTTGGTTGCAATTCTTACATCCCCAAATTTAGGGGATCCTTATAGAGAGTTTAAAATGCTCCGGGTTTTTTTTCCCCACTTTCGGGTGCCATCACAGGTATTTAGGATAACCTGTGCAGGGGCCATAGTAGGATAGATGGACTTTTGGACTACACTAATAATGGGAGATACCCACTTGATTTGGCTAACTCCGACAGTTTTAGCTGAACTTCATTGCAGCACGGAACAAGGACTGGATTTTGTACCCCATCTCTTATAGCTTTGTTGTATTAAGAAGGGATCTTTTTACTGCCTGTATGGAGAGGATAAACAAATACCTCCTTTAATGTACTGTTGTTTTAAGACAGACTTGGGGGGGGAATTACCCATTCTTTAAATGGTTTGCGCACAGACAGGAGAGTTAAATTAACATTGAAACGAGGACTGTAAATGCCAAACTGTGTGGAGCTAGTATACTAAAGTTCACTTCCAGCAGACCTTCAGTCAATACACTACAACACATTTTTCCCCCCACCACAATATAGCTGATAAATGCTGAAAAAGAAAAAGACAAAATGATACAAGTGTGTGGGGTCAAATAAAATTCAAAGTGACACGTTACAAACAATATTAACAATCCTGCTTTAATATTCAGTTTGGGCCTATATAAAATTTGACAGCACTAACATTCTGCCACTTACACACAAACAAAAGGTAAGTGATAAATTATCTGTTGCCAACTACTGATATATTGGCAATGACTCTTTAAGAGCTATTTTAACAAGGAGATCAATGATAGTCGATGGTTAAAGAAAAGCAATCCATGGGTGGACTGGATGTGGTAGAAGTAACAGGCAACACTGCGAGTCCTTTAAAATCAAGTGTCTGTCACTCCTCAGTTCTGTGGTTGGTGCGTTTGTGAGGAGGGACCAGGGACATTGTCTGTGATGACAAAATAATTCCTTCCTTTTAGGGGAATAGATGAGAGCAGAGGTGTGACAGGCGTGGAGGAAATTCCTATAAAATGAAAATAAAGATTTGTAATGACTAAACAAACCTTGTAATCACAATTATTTCTGAAATTGTTGAATCATGTAAACTTCATGAACAATCTAGGGATATTTCCTTTAGTGTATTTCTCTGCGCCCTCTTGTGGCCATTTATGGAATTGCCAGTAGCACAAACCATTTGACAATGTTCTCTCTTTTAAAGGAGTTACAACGTTGATATAATTCTCCTTCTAAATCACAACTGGTTACTTTCAAGGCTGTGGTAGACAGGTACCTGAAGATGCACAGTGTTTTAGTGACTCCAGGAGGTTGGTGCTTTCAAATTTAACAACACATCTGAAGGGCTCCTCCCGCTCTGTCATGGTCTTGTTGGTGGGGTCTCTGAATTTTGTCTCCAGCTGAGTAAAGATGAGCACAAAATAGGATGATCACTGCAGAATTATGCTGAACTTTTGAATCTTTGAACTCACATATAGCGAGAATCTTTTACTTTGATATTCAACTACTATACTCAGTATTTTAAACACAAGCATGCGTCAGGGTACCTTGTAAACTGCAGACTGTAGTTGAGGTAACATTCCTTCACCAAAGGCCTCACAGGCCATCTGAAGTCTGTTTTCTGCAGACTTAGCATGTTCTCTTTCGATGTTTGGGTCTGTAAATACAAATAAAGCTAATATATTCACTATGCACAAAGTGAAATTTCACACAAAGCATGTGTAGTGTATATTAAAATATTAAAGTAGCTTTAATCAGATCAAATGATTTGATAAACATACTTGAGACAATTTGGTTCCTTTCTGCAAGAGGGCTGGGATACTTTGTGGGAAACACCTAGAAAAAAAATAAAGAAATAAGGTTCAAATCCACCCAAAAAAACCCCCTCAAAATATACACCAGTTCAGCTAAAAACCAGCCTATTGTGCATCTCTAATTTTCTTTATGTGTTATAAGGCCAAACCAAGTGATGGTGCTATAATGACGACAATTCTGACCATATTCACCCATTCAGACAAATAGGGAGGTTACAGCAAACCGCTTCAAACCACTCATTTGAAAAGGGAAAACACTGCATATATCAACACAAAAAAAATCTCAGTTCAAAGATCAAACTTTAACCAGGAAGTAGTTCAGACAGCACTTCCCTTTAATGTCAGACATCAAAATAGGGATGACAACAATGTGTGATCCTTTTCACAGTTCACTTCAAGACTGTAAAAGATTTGTTATCAATATTAAGTATTAGGGATAAATCTAGCTTCCACTCTCCTACAAAAGGTTTTAAGAGTCGTTGAGGTGCATAAAGGGTGAACATGGCAATTTAAAATTTTCTTAAAACAGGTGGTCATCAAGGTCAATAAGATAAGATAGTTTTACTGCAATGTCAAACTCTCCAGTGCATGATGGCAGACTTCAGTGACAGACAATACATGCTCTAATGCTTATCAGCAATGTCATGAAAAACCAGGGCTTACAGAGCTTTGTGGCAGGCTTACCTGTTGATATTGCCTCATCAGCAGGTCCCTAATGTCAGTGAGTTTCCGTCCACTGAGGTTAGCATCCTTGATAGCTTGATATCTAGTGGCCAGAACCAAGGCCTGCAAAGTACATTAGTCTTTTAGAGGGGAACTGACAGATTGCAGCAAAAAAAAAAAAAGAAAAAAAAAATAGCCAGCTACCTGGCAACTGCACAAACAGTGTCATGGATTAAATATAAAACTCATTCCTCACCTGGTATAACAGTGGCTTTTGCTTTGAAGTCAGGCTGGTCACAAAGACATAAGGAGTTTGAAGATGGTGAACAACATATGTTGGTTTCAGGTGGTTGGGTCGAGAGAAGCTGTCCCCCCATGCAATCCGAATCCATACAGCTTCATCTGTGTGCTTCTTCATTTTGACAGACACCTTAAATGCAATGTCAAAACAGAGAAAGCCATAACATGTATGAATGATGCAACAATTGGTAAGATTTCCTAATTTATGTGAGAAGGAATATCTGGCTTACATGTCTTACGAGCTCACTGAGGTGACATTTAAATTGTTCCTTGAACTGCGTCAGCTCTACAGAGTGAGCATCATCTGGAAAAGAGAGAATATAACATACATTTAAAAAGGGGACACATACAGTATTCAATGTTGCAGCCAATAATAAATAATGGGTTAGATAGTAAACTCAACTTAATTACAATATTGCTATTAATTTCCTGGAACAAACAAAGAATGTGTGTGTCACATTATGCGCAATGTTACCCTTACATTACAGCTGTAGATGACTCCAGACTAAAGCAGGTTATTTGACTGATTAAAGTAACCAAACATTCAACCAAAAAGAAAGCTGTGAGACCACCAGCAGATTGTAGTGTTGGGTTACAATGAAAAGACGTTCAGCCGTCCATGGTACAACATGTACAGTGGTGTGAAAAAGTCCCCCCCCCCCTTCCTGATTTTTATTTTTTTTTTGCATGTTTGTAACACTGAAAGGTTTCAGATCAAACAAGTTGAAATATTAGACAGAGACAACAAGTAAACACGAAATGCAGTTTTTAAATGAAGGTTTTTATTAAAGGGGTAAAAAAAAATCCAAACTCACATGGCCCTGTGTGAAAAAGTGATTGCCCCGTAAACTAAAACTGGTTGGGCCACCCAGCAACGACTGCAGTCAAGCGTTGGCAATAACTGGCAATGAGTCTTTTACAGCGCTGGGAAGGCATTTTGGTCCAGTCACCTTCGCAGACTTGTTGTAATTCAGCCACATTGGAGGGTTTTCAAGCCTTAACTGCTTTTTTAAAGGTCATCCCACAACATCTCAAATCGGATTCAGGTCAGGACTTTGGCTAGGCCACTCCAAAGTCTTCATTTTGTTATGCCATAGTTGATGTTTTAACGGGGCGGTGCAATCACTTCTTCACACAGGGCCATGTGGGTTTGGATTCTTTCCCCCTTAATTAATAAAAACCTTCATTTAAAAACTGCATTTTTTTGTTTACTTGTGTTATCTTTGTCTAATATTTTAATTTCTTTGATGATCTCAAACATTTCAGTGACGAACATGCAAAAACACTTTTTCACACCACTTTATATTCTTGTTTTAACATACCTTCGGGGTCCATGAGCTGGAAGGCATACCACATTCCCTGGTTTGGATTGTCAATGACATCTGAAAGATAATTACACCAAAGCGAAGCAGAAAGAGTTATGGTACTGACAGCAATGTCAACATTAGATGGGTCAAATAATTTAATTTGACTTACAGATCATCTCGAGTTCTGTGATGTGTTTAACAGTCCACTTATGTTCCTGTAACGAAAACAAGTGAGAAATTCATACCAACGCTAACGTTAGATAGATAAAAAAAAATTATTTGAAACGTGACTTAGCCTACTGACAAGTAACATTAACGTTTAATTTCAAGTGACGTTAACTTTAACCGTGGGAATATGGATTTCACGCCCACTGTATATTAACACACCAACTTATCTTTCAGAAAGGCGCCGCATACCTCGCACATGGAGAGTAGTTGTTCCGTTAATGCCCACTTTGGTTGAGTAAAATCCATGGATTGCTGCTGCGCCACAGTCAAACGGCCCCACTTGTCCAGTGTTGTTCTTAGCATTTGAGTCGGTATCCGTCTTATGAGTCGCTGCAGTAAGCGTTTCATAGAGTCATCCATTCTTCTTCAGACAACAATATCTAGATTAGCTACGGTATAAGGAAGATAGTTTTTTTGTGTAATTAAACCGTTAGCTCCGTCCAGTTCGCACGGTAGCAGGTCAGACAGAAGTACAGTCTAGAAATTACAAACAAACCGCCTACAAAACAGCACACGAATCGACCAATCACATATTGCCAAAAATTCTCACGCGCTCCCTTTAGCGCCCTCTTTTGTGTTGGAGGGGTAGTACCTCTAGTACTGCCGCTGCTGATACCACTGCCAGTGACAAGAGCATCTTTGCAACTACTATAGGACCTAACTACTGCACAGCGGTGGAAGAAGTATTCAGATACCAATACAACAATCTGAAAACACTTTCAAAATTCTACTTCAGTAAAAGTGATGTAGTTTTGTCAGTAAAATGTACTTAAAAGTATCAAGCTATCAAGGTTCATTTATTTGTTATTTGACAACACATGATTGCACAGTGAAATGTAAGTTGTAGCACCATCATGCTATGACATATATACACACAAGTAATTAAATTAAATTATAATAAAATAAAAAATATATACAGTTACTTATATACATGTATAGCCTATCTATACACCCAGAAAGTATGTGCAACATGTGCTATGTCAATGTAAAGTTCCATGTAATTTATTTAATAGTAATAATAGATTACATTTGTGTAGCACTTTATCTTGAATACTCAAAGCACTTCAGAGTGATGTGGAGAAACTCACCTCAACCACCATCAATGTGTAGCACACACCTGGGTGATGCACTGCAGCCATTTTGCACCAGGACACTCATCACACATCAACTTGAGCTGGAGAGGGAGGGAAACTGAGGCAATTACACTGGGTTATTACACAGTGTCAGTTAAACATCTGATCTGAAGGACGGCCTCTCATACAACACATCATCCCCTTCACTGGGGTACTGGGGATTTTTTAATTAGGACCTGAGGGAAGATTGCCCCCCTGCTGGCCCACTAACAACACTTCCAGCAGCAACCTTGTTTTCCAAGTGGGTCTCCCAAGTACTAACCCAGCCCACACCAGTTTAGCTTCAATCATTCAGCAGAACCAGGGAACATGTTGGTGGTTGTGGTGGAGTGCAGAGGAGTGTCACAACCTGAGGAAAGAAGCAGCTCTGTGATCTGGTGGTACGGCAGCAGATACTTCTGTATCCCTTACCAGACGGCAGCAGGGTGAACAGGCTGTGGCTGGAGTGGGTACTTTCTTTTAGTAGCCTATCCTTTGGGCTCTGTGCAGGAACCTACACTTCACCAATATCACTGCTTAGTAGATGAGTACCAATGATGTTCTGGGCAGTTTTAATCACCCGTTGCAGAGCCCTCCTGTACTGGGCTGTGCACATCCCATGATAGTTTGTGATGAGAACGGGTATTTTGCCTTCTTAAGTTTCCTTAAGAAAAACAGTCATTTCTGAGCTTTCGTCACCAGTTCTCTGTAATGCTGAAGATTGTGAATTTATTTGAAAAATTAAATCTTATTGCTGTTTGAAATACGCCGATGATGGTGGTATCTTCCATAAACTTTACAAGAGCATTCTCTCCATGTCGGGAATTGCAGTCATGGGGTGAACAAGAGGGGGCTAAGCACACAAACCTGGGTTATATCCAGAGCGAAACGTTGGATTCATGGCATGATTGTGTTCAATGATGAGCCGAACAGCATTCTGTAGGTGTTGTTATTTTCAAGGTGTGTAAAGACAAGTAGAGGGCAGCGGAGATGGCATCCTCTGTGGATCTGTTGGTTGTGAAAGCAAACTGGTGAGGGTCCAGGCTGGCTGGGAAGTTGTTTTCTGATGTGCTGAAGAACAAGTTTTTCACCTCATCAGAATGGGGGTGAGTGTTTTTTAGGCTAGACTCTGCAGATTATTTGCATATAAGGTGATGGTGGCTGTCTTGAAGCAGGTGGAACAGTCCTAGTACAGCTATATGTTTTAAATGTAACATCAGCTAGTTGGTTTGCACAAATTCGTAGTACACGGACAGGGATGTTATCAGGCCCAGCAGCTTTGCTCACAGTCACTCTCAGCAGGATTCTTCTTACAGGCCTTGTTTACACATCTCACTTCCCTGCACCTAATGCATAAACATGTACATAATTTCTGTTTGCAAAGACCAATGTGTTTTATCAGAGCAGGAATTAGATTGGACAAATGAGAGATGCCTCCAGAGCACAACAACAACACAACTTTATAACTTTATTCTCTCATTTTGGTGACACTGGATCAAATTTTATGGGGGAAAAATATTTCCTCTGGCTGCTCTGCCACAACTCTTTGTGATTTATGGAGGTTCCTGATGGACAAATAGATTTACTTGTTGCTAATGTAACCACTAGCTAACTGTAGTTGCTGTTAGCTAGTTAGCTCAGTTAGTCGTGCAGCTACTGGCCTTATTAGCCCTAACGCTTAAATAAAGTTTATTAACTTTATTAAACTTCCTCCCCCAACAGTCCAAAGCTTCTGTGTAAAAAAACACTCTCCCAGTGCTCGAAGCTCCCAGTCCAGGCGGAGTCAAGACCACAAGCTGCATGTAAAGCACAGACTGGACCCTTTGTCCACTAAACTGGAACAGTGGAGCAGGGTCATCGTCTCTAAAATGCTTTAAATGCAGAATTGTTTAATAGAATCATGCAAATCAAGAATTGATGTCCATACACTGACATCTGCCTTTAACTAAAATAATACTGCAATATATAATAATATTGCATATAAACTGTAAGTTAGCCGTCACAACAGCAGTAAGAAGAACAACTAGTAGCAAAATTTGTACTAGAGATAACATCACATTTGGTACAAACTGCTACTTTAATTATCTTGGGTAAATATTTCATTCACAAATATAAATGTATTAAAACACATAGCCGTTATTTACTATCTTCACTGCATTTATTGCATTGTAGAATGGAGAAGAAAATAGGTTAAAAAACTGTATAATTTTATTGATGCCTTAAAATGAACCTTAACCATGGTTTTCTTTTCTCTACAATTAAGCGTTATTATGTTTTATCTTACGTGCTCCGTTTCTTATAAGCATCAATGACATTGTGACCTTTCATTTTGCTAAATATTATATATATAGTAAAATATTTTTCTTAGCACAAATTGTACCCTCTTCTTATAAAGGTCATCTGGCAAAATAATGACGTTAATTACATCGATATGCAATAAAGGAAGTACCACGGGGAAACCTCTTGTATCTCCTGTAAACTTCCGTCAGCAGAAATCCCACCTTTTGTGAGAAGAACGCACGCCATTGGTGGATTGAGGAAAAAAGCAGAAGCTTATTCGTCGTTGTCCATTGTCACTCAATTCGCTGTCAGTTACGAAAGTGTCAAGTGTTGCGCTATGGTGTTGAAGTGAGCAGCTTGTCCTACAGGTCCATGCTGTTATTGTAGGTTACATTGATGTCAGTTCAACAACAGCAGATGTAGCCGACGTGGTGGAGGCATTAGAATAACCCGCGCCGTTATTCTGCGAGGAGAAAGACGAAACCTTCAGTAGTTTATCTTGTTACAGTTCGCGTTAGCTAAGACCTCGCAGTTAGCTAACGTGACATTTCTCCGAGATTTGCTGGAAAACTTCTCCACTGGTAAGCTCTGCTGTCACAGTTACCTACAGCTGGAAGTGCACAGTGTTGTTAAAAAGCTTCTAATATAACAGATATAATGTATGTATTGCAACTGTTATGAGCAAACCTAACGTTAGCTAATATGTTACATACAAGCTCGTGTCAAAACGCAACCAAATGTCGGAACAACTCACAGTCTATGTAACGTTACCCTGATCCAGAGTCTTCTAGTCCAGGCTGTACTGTTAACGTGGTTATATAGGATACAGGGTCAATGCAGGCGGTTTACAAAGCCATGACAATACATTTGTTACAGTGTTGTGTAACCCCTGTGTGTCTGCAGGTAAGTGACCAGTGGAAAAACAAACTCCATCATCACAATGACAGCTCAGGAAGGAGAGGGATGGGGAGGCATTAGTATCCTTTAGAAGACATAAGTGTAACAAAGCTGAGACAATATATACATTATTATAGTGTATTTAAAGTAGTCCCGAAACAGTTGATCAGATATGAGCATATCCTGCTTTTTCTCTGTTTTACATCATTGTAAGTTGACTATCTTTGGCTTTTAGGCTGGCAAAACAAGCAATTTGAGGATTTTTTACTGTATTTTTAGACATTTTGTAGACTGAATAATTATTAATAGACTGAAGACACAAATCAAAAATGAAATAAATAACTGTTAGGTGCAGTCTATTGGTATGTTTATTTGATGTTCAGCAAATCACTATGTAATGGGAAAGCGCACTACAGTACAAAGCAAAACTGTGTTAAAGGGAAAACCTAGCTGCATGTGATGCAGTTCAAACATGTTGCCACCAAATAACATCTCTGACAGTAATTATCAACTCATGCTCCTCAGTCAGTGCTCCTCTTGTTTGTGGCTTTCCAGTATTGCTGCAGTGGTACAGTAAGCCCTTAACTCAGCATGCACCCTGACCTGTCACCTCACCTGCACACGGATGAGTGCAATGAACTCATAACTCGTCTGAGGCAGTGCCACACAGAGGTATGTCACACTTTAAAATTCTTGTTTTGCTGCATGCTTTATATACACAAAAAAAACCACACCAATGTAAATCTTGTTTTGTGTTACCCTCAGCACAATGTCCTGAAGTTCTTTGGCACGTGTAATGATGTGGATCGCGCTATGCGTCAGTGTCTGAAGAAAGAGGTCAGTTTCTTGCACGTTGTGAATACGACTTTGGCTACAGGCCTTTTTTCTGTTTTGTTTTTCTAAATCTATGTTTTCTTTCCTTACCATTCAATAGCGACTGGAAAATCGTGAGCGCAGTAAGCAGCATGCACAAGAGATGAAAAGGCGGCTGAAAGAAGGGCCCAAGGAGCATCTGTGAAGGACATTTTACTGCAACTTTGCCCCTGACACTTAAAACTATTTAGATATTGGGACATTGAATGAAGCAGGACACCGTGGCCTCCCCTGCTATTTTTCTGTTAAGACACTATATGTGTTTGATATTTGCGGAGAAAAACACGTGTAATAAGTTATATAAATTTTGGGATTGTATACTTTAACCCTCCTAACACACTTTTGACTTTTTATTATCTGCACAGAATAAAACTTGCAGTGGTACCGGAACATTTTAGGTCAACATAAAAACAATAGCATCTAGTACTTTGGATTAAAGATTGCTGTTGGGGATTATCATGTATTTCCCCTCTGTTAGCAGCACACTGCAGCTCCATCAAAGAGATGAGTGTAACTGGTGGCAGAACCTTTTATTTAAAAACATTATTTTGCAGGAATATTCTGATTTATTCATGAAAACGGGGAGCGTCCACTTCAGGGTGTCAGAGATGCAAGTAAAACGGGATGACCAGTGGCTGGGTTACTCTCGGTGCGAACATACATATTGAACATAGGCATTGTTTGAATGAATGGGGAATCATATTGATTCATTAAATTTATTTCAAATAAAGTGAAATTATCTGTTTATTTAAGAATCCATTCTGGCTTTGATATAGTGTGCATCCTTGACAAACACTTAAAGGCCTTAAAAAGTGGTCATTCATTTAATTTACAAATGCCCATGCTCTTTTCTGCTGTAGGCATTAGTTTTAGTTATGAAGTGTTTTTGTATCCATTTGCGGGCTGTCAGGAGATGGGGGCTGTTCAGACCTTACACCCAGTTGTGGCCATAGCTATGTTTCACCCGTTTCAACAGGCAACGACAAGAACTGAATAATTCACCCTCTTTTAAAAGAAATTAGGGCTAATTATTTCACTCCATGTGTAGAGACAGCAACACAGGTAGAAAGGGTGCTACACAACCTCCTCAGCACCACTAAAACCAGGCATTATTTAAACCACCAATATGAATTGAAAATAAAAAAGAGACTGAAAGAGTCTGCAAGTATGGACAGAAGTGTTGTGATATAAAACCATTCTTTAATCATGAAGCCTAATGTTAGGCTACAGGTCTGTGGTTCATCAGTGTACAAGTGTATGAACTATACTGCAGACTGGAGTCTCTATTAACAGTGATGGACAGACCTGCATTATGTATGCTCGTCTCCTCTGTGAAACATCTGTATCCTTACAGCGCTGCGTTATTATAATAATAACGAACTGGTCGTATGTCACATCTTTTTCTTGTCCGGGCATTGTCTCTCCCTTTTCATCTCCTTCAATTTTCATGCATTCGTCCCTGTTGTTGACTGTGTAGCTGATGTGGCTGCTGTTGGTGCTGGTTGTAATTTGTTGGTAATAACTATTAGATATAAGTTGTCCTGACCATTTGTTTGAATACGAAAAACACAAATATTGTGCACCATCTAGTATTATTTCATTATATTCCTCTCAGCACCCCCAACTGTGACTGCCAGTGACATCAACACTTCTGTCCATACTTGCACGCTCTCTCTCGCTCCTTTTTTTTTTTAAATGATCAATTTATGGTTTTTATAATGCCCTACTTTATGGGTGCTGAATTGTTGTGACTATTTCTACTGTGCTGTCGCTGTCAATCATGCCTAAACTTCAAAAAATGCATTTAAGTTGAAGCCCATATACAACTATTAGTGCAAACCAACATAAATGTTCTTATTGCTAAATGCTTTTATTATTATAAAAGTTATTTTTTTCTATTTTCTTTTACTTTCATACTTTGGCCTTGTATAACTTTGAATTATATGTAGTATCAAACCGTGCAGAAACCCTGATGAAAATGTAATGACAATTTAAGCTTAAATGTCCAGTTATTAATAGTTTTATAATTAGAGGTCATGGTCTTCATTCAATAACTGCACCTCCCCTTGTCTAAGGATGGTTTGCAGTGTTGATTATGGAAGGCCTCTTCGATCTATTTGGCCGTCTACTGGCTCTTGTTTCGATGACCTGGTGTTACCATGACTGAGAGTTCACGAAATGACACCTGAGCCATCTTCATTTGCTGCGTGACTAGCATGAGATGTGTTTGAGGGCTCTGAAGTAGTAGTAATTGGACTCTTTAAACCTGGTTTCTCTTCACCATGTAGGGTATTGTTCCCAAAGATCATCATCTTCTTCTGTTTTTTTGTTTTAAAAAATTGCTTATAGCGTGCCTGTTAGATCAATAAGAAGGACTCCTACTTTTTCACAACACAAGTGTTTCAGAATGTGGACTAAAGATCAGTACCTTTATACCTGAATACTTGGTTAAATATTGCAGTACGATAGCCATTAGTAAAAGGGGTATTGCCTTGAGAACCTGTATTTACACACATTTCCCTTTTTGATAAAATGATTTTAGTATTTAATATTTGTTTGATAACTATCAACAAAAGTTAGTGGTTTCAGAAATAAAAAAAAACACAATGTGAAAGTGCTGTTTCTTTATTTGAAGCGGCTCATTCTACCCATCACAACGTACGGATCGTTGACAGATATTTTAAGGCACCCCAAGATGTGCTGAGGAAAGAAAAAGACATGAATGATGAAATACACATACATAGGACCATACATGATATTGTGGTTATAAAAGAAAAAAACACATCAAAAACAAATTATCTGTAATAAATAAATAAAAACTTTTTATTACATGCTAAGGGGAGAATTTGGATCCAATGTCTAAAAGCGAAACCAATAGTTCCTAGAGGTGACACACTGAACAGAGTTTGTAATATTTTACAAATTGAAATAAATAAATAAATGAATAATTACATGAAGACCCCTGTCTTGTTCTGTGTGATTAATGCTCAGTGGACCCGAGTGATTTGCATTCAGTGAAGCTGTGCAGTACACAGGTCCTTCTCACCCCTTCATGTGACACTAAAGCCAAGAACTGGGGGATTCTAACTGTTAATCACCAACAGATGTGGAGTCTAGTCAAAAAAGCGAAAGCAGTGCCCCTTTCATTAAAAAAAGGAAAAAGACATCCCCAAATCCCAACAACTTCTGAAACCTAATGGAGTTTTTGGCCAAACTGCATGACAGGTGAGAACATTGACAATTTTGATTTTGTGAGCTTTCTGTATCTGATATCTGGCAATGTAGGATAAATGAATACATTCAGGAGCAGTATAATGCAATGACAAAGGTTTTATTTTTCATGAGTGGAAGTGTGTTGTTTTTGTTAATTTTAGTGAAGTACTTAACTTATTACCTCAAAATACTTCATCAAACCACTAATTATTTGCTGCAATTAAACTGCAATAATCACAAATGAAACTGATGATGAAATAATTAAACTACCTCATGGAGCATTAAATAAGTCTTACAATCTTCATATTTGCCAATCTAAAAAATAAAATACTTTTATTGATTATCTGTTCATACTTATAAAGCTCAGTAAACAACAATATTATATATTAAGTTATCTGACATGCCTTTGATAATTTACAACAAAATACTTAACATGATAATGTCAACTTAAAAGGTGAACATTCAAGTGACACTAGTGTTTACACATTTTGGTTTTGAAATTGTATATGTATACATGATCTGCTTCCCTGACCCATTTTGATCATCAAAGTTTTCATGGGATCATTTAGAAAGGGTGATTAAGAGAGTTGGGGTGCTTATGGAGCAAAGGACACCACATGGCACTGCACATCCAAACAGTTATCTCAAATAAATACAAAAATAAACTGCACCATTTCTAACAATACTTACAATGTTGGTACAAAACATACCCTGAAATACAAGGTACATAGGACAGGCAACACACATTTATATGTACAATATATTACATGAAATTAGTTACACAAAACAGTCTACACAATCTATATATTATTCTGTACTGCATGTGTACACCTGCAAAAAATGGACAAATATCTTCTGAGTTTTACAAAACAATTTTCACAGATCTATATTTTTTGGTAAAACAAAATAGATTCCTAAATATAATACACATTGCAATATTGTAATATTTTGTTTTCTCATCATTACATGCAGATAAGGACAACTCCAGCTACACGACATGTTGCATTTCCACAATATTGATCACTGACAGTTAGTGGTCACAATGTGATTACTTGAGGATCAAGCAATTATCATCTCTTTTGCGTGCTCTAAAAAAAATAAAAATACACAACTAAGAAATGACTGCCATGTAACATCAACACATCATCTGATTTTTTTTCTCAAAATAACAATCACGCATTTCACACAATTTACTATCTGCATTGATAACTTGGAAGCCATGTTATACATATCAACCACCACAGTACTGCATGTAAGGCTACGATTTGTAGCTCACACAAAATGGGATACAATCCACTGCTAATCCTTCCATGTGATTTGTGCCACCAATTCGTTTAATCATCTAAAGCCAGTTTGCACTCAAGCCAAAATGCCATTTGATTAAGAATGGACACATTTGTATATTTAGTGCCAAGATTCACATGAGACTTCCAGTGTTCTCCATTTCCACTTATTGTGGTTTACAAAAAAACTCTATGTGAATTTCAACTAAAACATGTCTCTATTAAAATGAAAAATTTGAATAATAATGTTTTCACTGCAGGTGAACTAAAGACACATGCTGTGTATCCATATGAGGATGCTATTTCCTGTACTGACGCATCACCAGACGGTCTCATTAGCACATGGGCATTAATCTTGATTTCATGTAACGGAAGCAAATCATTGAAGATTGTGATAACGATGACTATGTTAATGGAAAACAAGATGTCTGTTCTGTGTAACAAAGACACTTGCAGTATGAACGATGAAGTGTGTGTCAAAGTGTCAGTTTTCCTTTTTTATGTATAATGTTTCGTGATATTTCATGGTCACGCAAAAGATGACATGTTTGAGGTGTCACTAAATGTGATCTACTAACATATACATGAGCATGTATGAGCATCTGTGGCTATTTCTTTTCTGTCCATGCAGAGAGGATGGAATGTGCATGTAAGGAGTAAGACCCAGCATATTTACGCAAACTTTGGTTTAAACTTCCACTCAAAACAATAATAACTAAAGACAATTCTGAAAAATTCATCTTAGATACAGAAAGCAACTCTTTTACACACTTGAAATATATATATATATATTTTTTCATCAATGTATCATGTGCTATCAGACATACACTTATTTCCTACATCCTGATGATTTCATAAACACATAAGTCTCGCATATGTACAGAAACACTGTACCTCCCTGAAGAACCTTCAGTGTTTATTTAAGCAATGCACATTTGGCCCTTTGCTCTTTGACTCCTAGAGAACATACATTATGGACAGTTATGGGTCCAATAATAAAGATGCATTACAAAAGATGATCATAAAGGAATTGTCGGTGGACATGTGAGCAAACAGAACTTCAAAGAATCCCCTCTGCTGATGGATGGAAACACAGACCCTTAATTTGCAACGTTTCCTTAAGTTTGTGATCACAGTGTTATCATCGTGGATGTCCCCCTGATAACATTGAACCCACACTGATCAGTTTTCAGGGTGTGGATGATCACTTCTCATATGCCTTGTTGTGCAGGTAACTGAAAAGTGCCTCTAGTCCTTTGGTTGAACACCACAGCTGCTTCAGCATCTGACACTCTTTCTCATTCACTTCCTCAAGGACTGACATGAGGATACTCCTCACCAGGTATTTGGATTCTTCTAAAACCTTATAAAACACACACAGAAAGAGGAAAGAGTCATTTGGTTATATTCAAGGGAGCACTTTAGCCTCTGGGGTTGTCTGATCAGGACCTACCACTGCATTGCACGAGGCCATTTCCTTCACACGCAGCATCACTTCTTGGTTAAATGTGGTTGGCCAGAAGACCTGTGACACCAGTCCTCGGCTGCACGCTTCTTGTGCTGTGAGTTTTCTTCCACAGAATAGCATCTCGTTGGCCTGCCATTAGGGATAGAAAGAGGGTCAATGTGTCATGCAATCCAAATGTTTAATTTGGGTAAACAGAGGGTTATCAGGTGGTTATAAGAGGCATCAAATTAGATCATGTGAAATTTGCTAAAAGCCTTGATATTTCTGGGACCCACCAGAGCTACACCCAGGATCTGGGGAAAGGTGTAAGAGGAGCATCCAGAGGGGGTCAGGTGGAGGGCTGCACATGGAGTTTGGAACCAGGCCCTCTCACTGGCCCACACCACATCACACAGGGGCAGGATGGAGGCCCCTAAGCCCAGAGCAGGCCCGTTCACTGCCACCACGATGGGTTTCTTGAAGTGGATGAACGCCAATACAAAGTCCCTAAAGGGGTCACAGAACGATCAATACCAACTCTGTCAAGTCTAATGGCAAGTCATAGAGTCGGCATTTATAGTGAACAGATTTCTCATTACTGCACGGCATCTGCGATGCGGCTGCTCTCTTTTCTGCGGTCAGTGGACAGACGCCCTATCAGGTACGACGGCTCCAGGCCACTGCAGAAGACTGTCCCCACGGAGCTGAGCAATAATAATTTACTGTCATCGGCAGCTGCATTACCCAGAGCTCGACACACTTCCTTCATGATCTGAAAAGAAAGAGGAGGGGATGTGTATTACATTCTCACTCATCTTACACAAGACAAGTTGAGAAAAAAGTTCATATCTAGATTTTCAATCCTTAGAGTAAGGCTTGACATCCACCCAGGATCTCACTAGCAGACAGACAGTCCTAAGAAACAATGTCTAACACTAGGAATGCAAAAAAGAAATTCCATCCCTCCAATGCTGACAGCTTATGGAGAAGTGCATTTTCAATAGTGCTATTCTTCTAGCATAACTAGGCACCATGTGTTTTTGGAAAATTATGATCCCATTTCAAATTTAATGCCAGCAACATGTTTCAAAAAAGTTGGGAAAGTAGCAACAAAAGATTGGAAAAGTTGTAAAATGCTAAAAGAAAACACCATCACATTTAATTAGGTCAACACTGGCAACAAGTTAGTAACATAACAAAAGGTATAAAAAGAGCCTCCCAGTCTTTCCGAAGTAAAGATGGGGAGGGGTTCACCACCCTGTGAAAGACTGAGCTGGCAAATAGTTCAGCAATTTAAGAATAATGTCTCTCAACGTAAAACTTCCAAAAACCTTAATCTGTGAACACAGATCGTCACTGCATCTACAGATGCAAGTTGAAAC